ACTTGCCCTTGTTGTGTTTCATAAGATTTCTTCCCTCCCTACTCTCCAGCCTATCTAGGTGTCACTGAATGGCAGCACGGCCTTCTGGTGTGTGAGTCACTCCTCTCAGTTTTGCGTCATCAGCAAACTTGCTGACAGTGCACCCTATTCATCAAGGTGATTGATGAATATATTGAATAACACTCATCCGAGTACCAACCCCTGAAGCACTCTACTACATATAGGTCTCCAAACAGACTCTGTCCCATTGACCACAACTCTCTGACATCTTTCCTTCAACCAGTTCACAATCAACCTCACTACCCAATCGTCCAGACCACACTTTCTCAGTTCAGCTATGAGGATGCTGTGGGAGACAGTGTCAAATGCTTTACTGAAATCAAGATAAACTATATCCGCTGCACTGCCATCACCTACCCACCTGGTTATATCCTCATAAAAGGCTATCAAGCTGGTCAGACATGACTTCCCCTTGGCAAAACCATGTTGACTACTTCTAATGACCTTCTTATCCTTGATACACTCGGTGACAGTGCCAAGGATAAGTTGTTCCATCACCTTTCTAGGGATGGAGGTGAGGCTGACTGGTCTGCAGTTACCTGGGTTCTTCTTCTTGCCTTTTTTGAAGACTAGAGTGACATTCGCTTTCCTCCGGTCCTCAGGCACCTCACCTATTCCCCACGACTTACCAAAGATGAAGGAGGGTGGCCTAGCAATGACTCCCATCAGCTTCCTCAGCACCCACAGAGGTGCAGCCCATCAGTCACCCAATGCCAAAAGAAAGAACTCACATAATAATTTGCAGTATAAGAGTAGATCACAGACTCAAATTTTCCACTATATTTCTGTGTTACATTTGTTCCTTACCCAGTTCACTGTTGAGTGTGTGGTCTTTGGGCAGGATAGACTGAGAATTATGAATGTTGCCTCCACCCACAAACCAGTTGACATTGGGGTTCCAGCGGTTCACAAAGCCACAAAGATGATTTTCTTCAAAGTCACATTCTGCAATTACAGACATCACAAGTTCAGTGCACACATTTTCATTATAGAAACTGGAAGAGAGGCTACTGCTAAGCACTGGCCTCATTTTATATACAGCAGTGCAGATAACAGCTACATTTATAAATTTGGACACAGCAGTAAACAGCCTATAATAAGTGAAAGCAAACTTAGCCACATTTTTGGATTAAAATCTCATTTCCACCCTGTTAGGTCAAATCTACCTTTTAATTATTTGGCAATACAGGACTGCTGTAATTTAGAATCAAATAAAATAGATTTAAAATCTATCACTTCATAGAATTAAATAGTCAGAGTACAACTTCTACTTGTAAATCAAGGATGGTTAGAAGCAAAGCAGGACTAGTGTTTCATGGTGGTAATGAGATTGCTTTGTTTCCTTCACAGAGCCAAAGAATTGTGACAATTCAGTTGGACTCTACCAGAGCTGCCCAGAAATGCAAAAGTTTCTCATCCTCCTAGCTGCTATAATTTTTTCAAATTCCTTAGAGGTTTTTTGGCAGATGTCATGAGGAAATAGCAGTAAGTGTCAACTGTCAACTCTGAGCATGCAAAATGCCACTGTAAGGAAGCATGAGGAAGCAGACAGCAGAAATATTCTTGCAGCTGCTATGCCTAATATTTGCAGCAGTCTGGCTTTGTGTAAATATAACAATTGTCCCTACTTGGCCAACAGATAGCTTTAGAATGAATTATTGTATGTGAAATGTCTATCACAGAGATGGATTAATAAAAAACTTACTAGTGTGTGCAACCTTAGTTTAAAAAATATCTGTATTGAATACAACAGCCTCTTTTTCAATAAGGAAAAAACATTGTCTTTTTTCTAAACCCAGAGCCTTAATTCAGTTTTGAAACTGCCAACAAGACATTTTTTTCTAAGCAGAAAATACGGAAGCTGAACAGAGAGCTTACCAATACAATATGCAGGTACTTACCAATACAATATCCAGGAGTTATTTTAATTTCAAAAACTGCTATACTGGCAGATTTATCTTGTCCTATTTCACCTTCCAGTACAATCTGCACAATATAAATCAAACTGTAAATATTAAGGTTTTGGTATTTCCATTAGCACCTTGGACATTTAAACAGGGTAAACAGGAGAACATATGAAATATATATGGGAGGCTCATCATCATTACACTCAGGAGATGTGCTTTTACTGGAAGAGCTTGGCATTAAGGGCAGAGTCAGTGCCTTTCCTCTAGGACAGAAGGCACACTGAAGGACAAAAAGATCAGGCCAAAAAATCCCACACTTTGTGTCAGAGTATTGGACTCCACATTTCTCAGCTGTAGCTATATATGATTTTATTGTGAGTGATGCAATGTGAGAGGTTTGAGGTAGAATTATTCTCCTCTCAGCTTCTGACTTTCCCTCAAGAAGGGCCCAGAGTACAGGAACGTGTAAGTGCAGCTGAAGACCCAAGACCTGGGAGGTCTCATACCTGCTACAGGACTCAAGACAGCTCTGCACACTGATTTTAGGGACAGAGAGGTTGACTGATGCACATGCTGCCAGCCATAGAGGTGAAAGCCAAGATTAGGGCCTGGAGCAGATGTGTTCAAAAAGCAGTCTGTACACTCCAACATCGGAAAGCCTATGGCATCTTCTTCTATTCCAATTCTAAAATTGGATTTACCTTGTACTTCTTTGTGCTGTTAATTAAATCTAAGCTAGCTATGAGCCAGCTATCTGAAGGCTCCTTGGCTGACCACAGCAAACGATCAAAGCTCTCTCCTTCCTGCCTCAGGTATACGTTGAGCCTGGTGGGATCACGTGAAGCCTCTGCAGTCATTGCAATCTGGTAGATCAGTCGGACACAGCTCCATTCCTCAGAGTACAGCTCAGGACTGGACAGCACTGCTTTCTCACCTTCGTAAGATGTATCCACAGAAATGTAATGTCCTGGGAACAGACACACAACAGAATAATAAATGTCAGAGGCTTTGCTTTTGCATCCTTGGGCAAAAGTACTTATATGCACAGGAGTGGTTGTTCTGGGGCTAGGTCAAGAAATTGAGAGTGCTGCTAAGAAATTGATTTAATCTTTTGATGTCCCACTGTACCAACAAAAATGCCACTTTATGTGATTAAAAATGATGTGTCTCACAGCATATTTAATCACAATTTTAAAATTATTTGAAATGTTCAGAGAAAGATATCATTGTGTCAAGTGTTAAGGGTAGGCCAGCCACTAAATACTGACAGATGCTTTTTATTAACCTCACTCCTTCCCCAAAGGGGAAGGGAAAAGGGAATAACGCAGAGAGACTTATGGATTGGAAAACAAAATTAAAATAGCTTTAGTAAAATTATAGTAGTACTAATAAGGAAATGATTAAAACAACTAAATATACACTAATACATACAAACCCAATATTGAACACACAACTCTCTTCCCCCTAGCAATCTCTACTGATGCTGCAGAGCAGGAAGCACTTAGGGAGCTGGATACAAGAGCTGGATTCAGGAACTCAGGATCACGATCCAAGGCGGAAGAGTGGATGGAATCCTCCTTGGATGCTGGCCATTGAAGAAGAGAGTTTAACCTCCTTGATCCTTCAGCTCTTAGAATACTCTTGTTGGTCAGTTTTGGGTCATCTGTCCTGTCTGTTACTCACTGCAGGTGCATCTTTTTACTTCCCTGAGACCTTTTTACTTCCCGGCACCCACAACATGTTACACAAGATCCAGCAGTGACCTTGGTCATTATAGGAGCAAGTATGAGCAAAAGCCTCTCTGCATCCCAATCCCTGGCAGCAACTGTAAACATCAGGCATTGTCATTTACTAGTAGCAGATACTGTCTGCCAAAACATGTTGTTAACTTCTGAAAGTGAAGCCTCCTAGAAAAGACTGAGCTGAAAAAATCACTGAACAGAATTGGTTCTGTTTAGCTCAAACCAGGACAAGGAGTCACAGAACCCTAGTATGTAATGCCAGAAACAAGAGAAACAGAGAGAGTAAGGATACTTCAAAAATAAAACCAACCAAGTAACAAAACCAGCTAGGACATCCATGTCTAAACTAGTATCCCATATATGATCCAAAAAATGATCCTCCTAATCTAGTGGCAAGTATATC